TCAACCTATTCCGTCGGACAGCAATGCAGTACTCTATCTCCAGGAAATATTTTACATATCCTTTGTGTGTCATGACCCCAAGTTTTCGGTTTTTATGTCTACGCAGTTAAATATATACGTTTTTGCTACCAGAACGAGGAAGTTGACTATTGAAACATGTAAATTGTTCATCCCAGAGTAGGATTTGTTGTGCATTCGGGAATGCCCTCAGGCCACCATAAACTCTACAGAATGTAGAATCATACACGGTGTTTGCTGCAAAATTAAACCTATTCAAGCATTTAAACATTCAACAATTTTTTGGCAATTATTTGAGAACTATTTTAAAACCTGGAAACCATTTTTACAAAAACGTGCAACATATACAGTTTTAAAATCTCAAAAAAATGTAAGAACTGACACGAAAATAATATTTATTTGACATTCGGAAATAACTTATTGTCTTTGAATTTTAAATATTGTTCACATGTTGAAGCTCCAAGATGTTAACGGTGTAAATCCAAGACTTTTTATTATCAAGAAACAAACAAATAATGTTATAACACTAAGTGCCTACAGACCGCACTTTTCAATTAATTAGTCATTTTGTGTAACCATCACTCGCCGAATACACCGGCACCAAAACAGCAAATACCATACTTGATATGTGGCAAAATAGCCCGGAACTCATCTTTCAGAACCCTATTCTAGAATCTACTATAATGTACTTGTACGTGTTATGAGCGAAATGTTGAAGGTGGATACTAGGAATCTGCAAAAATCCACATACTGTAAAATGACTAATTTTCACTGGGTTTAAATTTCACTGATTTACCATTTCAGGCATATTCAGTGGGTTTTAAATTCACGGTTTCGTCATTAAGATAATGTGTTTTATGCTAAATTTTACATATTGATGGTGTTTTAATTTAGCGCATTTTTCCAGTCAGCGAAATAAGCTAAATTAAAACCCAGTGAATAATTACCCCCTTTACAGTATCATTTAGCATGTGAGTATTGTTGCATTCCCAACAGTTTTAGGTGGTTGAGGTACCGTACATTCACAGTTTGTAGGATTGAATTTGCATTGTACAATGTGTATATGCAGTTTACACACAATATATTGTTATATCACAGCGTGAATATATGTAAATGTCACTCACCGTCCCTGATATTTGGAATCTGAAGTTTGCCATCGCTGCAAGCTACTTTGCAGACCGTTAACGTATCACAAATAATATACCCGACTTTCGTAATAGTGTGTTACGGGAACACACACCGCACAGATTGCGAGTATTATCTTTTATTGCGAACATGTTAGAATTATTTGCAGAGTTTAACGACATGAAGTAAAGTATATATGATTAAAAGCATTAATTACCCGACTTAACTTTTAGTGTGTCTTCATTCAGACTTTAATCGTCAAACAGTAAACACGATATCGAGCGTCGGAATAATAATTATGGAATAACTACTGTATTTGTAGTGAAATTGCAATCGAATCATTATACCTACACTAATTGCTATACGATAGCTGATGTGTTTACTGACAATCATTTTTTCCATTGGCGTTTCAGAATGTCCTTAGTTATATGCAGTGACCTGGTTATGGCATGGTATATGAGATCAAACTACCAATAACCCCCGATGTGCTACTACTAATAAGATACATATTAATCTAAGCATAATCACATTTATTTTAGTGTACGACACTCGATTTGCGACAGCCGTGGTACTATCACGGGGAAATCTTCTCCTCTGGGGTTCTCCACACGCGTCAGGGGGGGGGATCTCGTCTCGTCTCTATATCGCGTCCCCTTGAGGTACGGGATCTTACAGTCAAATAGACACACACAACGAAATACGTTTCAACTCTCGTCTTAGTCGGTCAATCGAGCACTCTATAAGACACAGCGCCCTGGGGAGAAGTACCCAAGACTACCGCAAGGCTGACCCAAGACTCGCCCAAGACTCTACAGGACTGGACTCTTAGACTGCCTCTGTCGTGGAGTACTCACCAAGACCAACTCAAACTCTCTTTATTCATTTTCAAAACTCTAACCAATTACAAAGCAGAAAAAAGACTCTGGGGCGTAACCTTCAATCATACAGCCAAACAAACTAAGTACTGAATACGTCATATCTTTTGATTAATCGTTCACTACATTAATAACTACGAATACCAACTGTCAGAAATAGTAGTCCGAATAGCGACGGTTATCTCGTAATTAGTTCCAAATCACTGAGTCGAGTTCCGTCCAGGACTTCACATGGCCTAAACGGTACCAGACATAACACAGTCATTCGTTAGTAATCAGCTAAATAAGTTGGTCAACAGATACGCGAAAACAAATTCATCATAGTACACATAGTACTCATGATCACTTAATTAAAGTAGCAAGACTATTATTTCTGTTGAAAATTACCATTTCAACAGCACTCTAGGAAATACTGTAGTGGTTGATGTGCGGTGGTCGTTGTGCGACACATGGTCAAATAACATGTAAAAACCCCTTAGTGTATTTGCAACGTGCAACCTCAAATACACAATAAGGTAATATTGATGCTGAAATGAACCTCAATAATAAGCGTGTAATTTCAAACTGTACGAGCATTAATTATATATTACTTACTGACATGTTGTAACTACTTCGGGTTACTTCTTGTTTTCTCAACTTTAATAATCAATTGAATAAATAAAAGAACGTTAACGTATCTCAAATATACTAGTTTTCGTGAAAACGTGTCATGTTAATACCCGCCACACAAGTTGCGAGTCAACTAAATTATTATTGTCAGATCAATTGCAGCGGAAAGTGAGAGAGGGATTATATACATTAATTACTACGTGACAGCTGGTGTGTCAACTATCAACATAATCACGGGCCATTTAGACATCTCCGGTGAGCATGGTGGGTACACCACGATATTTGGAGTTAGGTGCAAGATTGTGTCTTTCTATAGTAGTGTGGCAGCTAGACTATGTGTATTGTCTAGGGAGCTAAATCTGAGTAATAATAATAAACACAGACATATATTTAGACAATCTAAGTATCATCTAGAGCTAGAACAGGCAGCTACATGTTGACGGGGATCTTGTTAAAATATGTGGACACGTTATTGCCGCTAAAATTGCACGGTAGCGAATTATAGCTATAACGCATGCGTGGGACTAGTTAACATTTTATTTAATGCATAGAGCAGATTATAAAACTTCATATTAAAGCGGGGGAGTCGTCACCTGCACATGCGTCAGGTGGCTATATCGTGTCATTGTTTACAAACAAGCGTCTACCCATGAGCCTTTGCGTTTTAGCGTGTGTTGTTATCGTCGCTTGGGACCCAATTCCCGCGCGTGCGCAAGTGACGACCCTCTCGCTTTAAATTTCCCCAACATAAAATTAAGCAAATGCTATTATATTCCATGTTCCTCTTCCATCTTCCATCCATTACATTCCATTTTGTCTGCGACAACGGCAGACAAGATAGTGCAACGGATTGAATATTATTTCAAGCCACAGACTGCACATACATATACTAATTAAGTTTATAATTTTGAAATTTGTATTAATTAATACCTGAAATATAATATTATCGTGAACAAAGCGGTAATACTTCAAAGAAATTAGCACACTGTTTGTGGTATTTGAATAAAATTATTGTTGTTGCAGTAGTAACGCTAGAAATAGATAGCTAAACTGAATAGCGCTAAATGGCGGCAAATGCGCCTGAAAAATAATAATTTAAAATTCACATGACATCGTTTCTAAATATCGCTGTAGTTTATAACTTAGACCATGGAACTATAGTTCCATGCTTAGACTCTCTAAATAGAAAATCTTCAATAGTTCAGACAGAAAATGTTCATTTACATAACCGATCTGTTTGTGCCATTCATTACATATTGCGTGTTCAGATAACAATACAAAACAATAGAGTCAATGGAGAAATGTTCTGTGAAAAGTTAAAGCGGGAGGGTCGTCACCTGCGCACGCGCGGGAATTGAGTCCCAAGCGACGATAACAACACACGCTAAAAACGCAAAGGCTCGTGAGTAGACGCTTGTTTGTAAACAATGACACGCTATGGCTATCTGACGCATGCGCGGGTGACGACTCCCCGCTTTAAACGTACAGCCTGGTGGCGCATTCCCACAAAGTACAGTGTGTATACATTTGTTGAATGACGTCAATAATTACATAAATGCAAACATTGGATCATCAAAACAATAATATTTTCTCATTTTGAGAGTGGTTTGGACCTATTATTTCACGTGTTCCATATGAGGTACACAGCTGCTGATTGAAAACCTAGTTATAGCGTTATCAAATAAAAACATTATTTTTATACGGTTTAAAAAAACGTCATTAGGACGTTTAAAATTATAGTTACTTACGTATTTTATGAAAACGATCTAAAAACATGACATAGAAGTGTTTTTAAACGTCATTATAACGTAATTTTCTACAATGCTTTTATTATATATCGCACTGTCGTACTATTACATGGGCTTGATAATTAAATAAATTCACATCAATGTCTTTATATGTACAAATGCATATTAAAATCTAGGTTGCCCGTAACTGTATGTTAGGTTAAGCAAACTGAGCAAACAAAATGCACGCGAGGTGTTGTAGAAAAGAAAGATTGTTACATTCAAGAAAAATACTGTGCAGATTAGATACCATGAAAAAAATATTGTACTGGTTTTCCATCGCCCCATGATTTCAAATGATTAACCCCGGAAGCACATTGCATTAGGCAAACCAATGTTGTTAACCCTTTGATCCCTCCGTTTACAACATGGATTATTGTATTTTCCAATCACTGCAGTATGCACTACCAGTATATTTACGCACACGTATGCACTGGCCCGCCCTCTGGAGTAACGTTCTCTGACACTTATTTGACCCTACAATCGTCACCTGATCAAAACACGTGACTATCACGGTTTTCCTACTGCTTTCCTATCTGGATAACTATAAGTCTTTGTTCCAGTTCAATGTCTTAGACTTGTTGTATACCCTTGAATAATTCTGAGTGGTTTTTACAGCTCATCGTATTGTGTTGACAAACATGCTAAGTGACAAACGACAGACGGGCAGCAATGCCGATAACACCGAGATGTAAAAAATGATCGTTGTGGTGGGGCCGAGGACAATCCACTCAGTCAGCCGCTCACGCCATAGACGTCCAGTCACTGTGTTTCATCAATACCGTCCAGCATCATTACCAAACGATTAGTAACATAAACAGTGCTCCCTCGAGGCCAGAGCGGGTATCTACGACGTTGTCATGTCATACAACAACGACGAGAGAAACTTCCGCTCACATTATTACGAGAAAGTCGGTTTTAAAGGAGTTGAAGAAAAAAGATCTTTAGAAATTTTACTTAAAGAAGATCCCTTAGGTTAGTTTTTTTCCGTTCTTGGCAAGTATTGGTGATGAGGTAATTTACGTACATGTAAATAAAATGTATAATTTATCATAACGGCATGGTTGCATGAGCAGGAGGTTGACCATGACGTCATGATTGAATGGAGGGAAAATGGGGGACGGTCGATTCGTCCCAAATCACATTCGTCCCAAGTCTATTCGTCCCACAAGTCGATTCGTCTCAAGTCGATTCGTCCCACAAGTTAATTCGTCCCAAAGTCGATTCGTCCCACAAGTTGATTCGTCCCAAAGTCGATTCGTCCCACAAGTCGATTCGTCAGATTTAAGGTTAGCCCACTACTAACTCGCCAAATAAACACAAACACATCCAAACAACGAACTGTTCACGTACACGTCATGCACTGGCATGCGTAACTGTTCGTTGCGCCATTTTGTTTTTGCCGACGTTATAAACAAATACACCGTACACGCAACGTAGAGTTATTAGTTAATAAATACAAATACACCGTACATGCAACGTACAAGTTATTAGTTAATAAATAAATACAAACACACCTTACATGCAACGTAGAGTTATTAGTTAATAAATACAAATACATCGTACATGCAACGTACACGTTATTAGTTAATAAATACAAATACATCGTACATGCAACGTACAAGTTATTAGTTAATAAATACAAATACACCGCACACGCAACATAGAGTTATTTTAGCGTGTCAGTAACAGTTGGCATAGAAATTGACCCTGCTCAAGATCGTAACGCTGACCAAAAATATAAAAAAAATGGACGAATGTGAATTGGGACGAATGTGAAATGGGACGAATGTGAATTGGGACGAATCGACTTGTGGTACGAATGTGAATTGGGACGAATCGACTTGTGAGACGAATGTGAATTGGGACGAATCGACTTGTGGGACGAATGTGTTGGGACGAATGTGAATTGGGACGAATTGACTGTGAATCAAAATGGTTACCATACTAATATTTCTTTCATTTAGTTTAATGCATTTTTAGCTCCGCTTTCGACTTTGTCCGTCGTCGTCCTGCGTCCGTCGTCCGTCGTCCGTGTCAATGTTTTACTTATTCGACTTCTTCTTGAAAACTACAAGCCTGAATGCTTTGATATTTGGTGTATATGTACCTTGGGTAGACCTCTCTCAGATTTGTTCATTTCATGATCATATCTTCAATTCTCTAATTTTGGTGAATATTTTTGTCATTTTTGGTAAAAAGTGATATTTTCGACTTCTTGTTAAAAACCGCAAGTCCAATTGCTTTGATGTTACATATATAGGTACTACATGTGTACATGTGGGCCTCTCTCAGATTTGTTCATTTCATGATGATATCTTTAATTTTCTAATTTTGGTGAATATTTTTGGTAAAAAGTGATATTTTCTTCTTAAAAACCACAATCATTTACGGTGAAAAATGATATTTTTGAATTCTTGTTGAAAACAGCAAGTCCCATTGCATTGATACTATGCATATTGTTCATTTTCTAATGATATCTTCTGTTCTTTAATTGAAATGTGCATTGCTAACAGCTGGGCTATCTCAGCCGATAGGCTGCTTGTTTTTATTTTCAAGATGGCGTTTCAGTGAATGTTTTTTGAAATTGTTCACATAATGTATTATTATAAGAAACCAAATCTTCTAGTCGCTATGTATATTATAAATACATCAGAAAATATTTGAATATAACCACAATTTTATTTGAAAAAATTCTAAAAATATGTAAAAAAAGTAATCATAAATATTGATATTATTAATCAATATTCTAATGTCTTTTGTTTAATCAGATCTTGATAAACTAAGCACATTTTGTCAGCGTTTTCCTGTTCCATCTTTGTACAGACCATTTGTATGGAAAGTTATATTAGGTAAGTACAGGTAAATATTAACTGTGGTAACCGGTTATCTTCTAAATTTAGTCACTTTTTTTGGAAATCAAATGCTGCCTTTTTAATGCTGTCTTTTTTTATGTATTGTCCACGCTTAGGCCAGACTTTTATTATCCCTTGTTTCGCGAACCCGCTGAATGAACAGGAGCCGAAAATGAAATAAAAATAAAATTTTATTTCAGCGTAATTTCTCGCGCCCGTCGACTTGTGAGTGCAAAAATTGCTAGAAAAAATAAAATGTTATGTTCATTTTTTTTTTCGCCCGCAGCCTAACAAATCCAAGTTGCATTTTCATGGGAGTTTTCATGAGAAATCCTTCATTAATGTTGAAAATTGTGCCACAATTGGCGACATTGCCAACCATGTTGTACATGGAATGAAGTTTTATTTCATTTCTTCTCTCCGATCAATGATCTTACTTAGAATTCTTTGAGAATCACACAAATCTAATGGAAAAAAAGAATTAATTATATTTTTTTTCTGCCCTCCTCAAACAAATTGACTTATAAAAACTCGAGAAATAAGAAAAAAAAAATCTGGCCTAATGGTCATATTTTAATAGATGATTTAAATAGTCTGTATTGCTTATAACAACAATTGTTATTCTAGTTTGCTAATGTGAATTATTTTACCGTTAAGTTGCACAAGATGTATTTTAACTTCTCTGAATGACTAGAAATAGTATCAGTCATATTTTGTCATGTGTTCAAAATAGTGATATATTAATCACGTTTCAGTATCTCAACATTGTGAAGGAGATGTTGTTTATTTCTTCTTATATTAGTTATTTGTATATGGGCATTGCCTGAATTAAAGTGATAATAATATGAGGTTATTACGAGGATACCTCAAAGTATGAACAAAGACAGTACAGAGGCAATATGCAACTGTGTACTGTCTGAGTGTATCCTCGCAATACCCTTATTATTATTATACGTCTTTTCCTTACACCATGGGAATGCTGAAATTCAAAATGTTTAGAACAAAATCAGTGAAATTCTCTGTGTGGAGTCCGGTCACACCCTGGTGGCAGCCATGTTTGTTTTTATTATAAGAGGATGCTTACGCACATAATCACAGACATTCCATATTTTGAATTCGCATTTCCTAATATGGTAGGATGAAAATAACACTGTAACTTATGGCATTATGGTGACGGATGTATAATAATAAATAATATTGAAAGTTAAGTTATCCAATATCTCGATCCACAACCCGACTGGTGCCCGGTCAAATTATATTCACAAAATTTATCATTACGTTTTTATCTATTTTCCCCGTAGGTATTTTGCCTCTTCATCAGACTATCCATACATTTGTGACGAAACAACGATATGAGCAGTATCACAATTCACATCAAGCTTTGATTATTATGAGACAAGTCACACCAGCCATGGATATCCAGAAAATTCATTTACAAATGTACCAATTAGAAGAGGGGGAATTACCATTAGAGGACAGCCTGGAGGTAGTGTATGTGAATATTGGGAAAAAAATTACTGTAAACCGTTTCACTGCTAGAAATTTTAGGATTTTATGGTATTCATGTGAAGACGAAATTTTGCGATAGTCACCAGCGCTCAGAAATTTTCACCGCTACAAAATATTGAGATTTTTCAATAACTGTCTCTGTCTTAAAATGGGACATTTTCTTGAGCAGCAACACCCTAGTTTTAAACCAAGGATTGTTGTGTGGATGCATGGTCACAACGGATTGAGCTAAAATGTGATTTGTTGTTAGATGCAACATATAGTTTACTATGATACATACATGAATCAGGTGCGATTTCTACAGGCCTACAAAAACACTTAAGTCACCAAATTCACTTTGTTAAAGAACCACTACCAGAACCCCAACACCAAACAAGTTGTTCGCGTCCTTGCCGTCCTTTCACTATATTTAAAGTGAATACATGTACAGAGAAAATTATCATCAATCTATTGTAAACAATTTATTGATTTTTGAATTATTCTGTTCTCTATTTCTAGTATTCAGTGCCACATTATGATTCTTTTGAGTCAATATGCACCTGTATGAGTGACATTATTGAAGAAGAAGTGGACGTGTATTGGTTGAGCGTTAGATTTCATAAACTTTTTGAAAAGTACCAGGAAGTCATTCCTAAATTAGTAAGTATTTGCTTTTTGCACATTGTGTTGGGGTGTTTTATTTAGGCACTACCACATGTTTTGAAATGTATTATTTGTCATCTTGCAGTGGTTTGGGTGTATGCACATTTCTAAGCAAACTTAACCTTAATAGTCATGTTTATAGTCTGTACTTTCCTTCAGAAGATTGGAATAAAAATAGCCAATTTTTTTTAGTAAAAACTGAAAATTGACTAAAATTTTGTCTGTTAGCTCCAAAATTAGGGTTTGTTTCCAGAAGAATATTTGAAAAAAAGTGCAGAAAAATTTAGGCAAGAACAAATGAAAAGGTTAAAGATGCTTTGCAAGAAGTCAGTACAGTAATCAAACCAACTGGCACGTAGCGATAGTTGATGCGATCCTGTACTGCCTAAGTCCACACTTTCTGGTATTCTTGTGGTTATCTTATCAAACATGTTTTTTTCTGCTTGTAGTATTACTTAACAATGAAAATTGATTATGCGCTGTGTTTTCTTTCTGTGGCGGAATTTTATTTACGTCACAAGGTGCATTACTTCTGCGTTCGATGCAAACAAACAAGAGTTTGAAAGTGACATTAGTTATTTAGAACACCAATTTTATTGTTTTCAGTGTTAGTTCATATGTATATATTTGGTATATATTTTTGAGGTTGAATTGTTTTTGAACATTTTTGTTTCGAAAAAATATTTTTTTTATGACAAATTGGCATCTACCCCTAAACTTATACACGTTTTCTACAGAATGAAAAATTTGAATTTTTTCTGAAGAAAGAAGATTCCTCATTGTATACATATTTATCAGAGAACAACTTATTGAATAAATTGCCATATAAATCATGGTTTCAGCAGGGGTTTTGTAACGTGCTACCAGTGCCTGGGCTGGAAAGGTAATCATTTCACTTGAATCTTACTGTGATTGGATTGTGTGAGGCAGTTATGGTTGTGGCACGGAACAGATTAGCTTTCCTGTTTGGAAGTAACAATGTGCCTGTAACAGGGGAAAAAGTACAGTGTGAACATGGAAGAGCAAAAACAGATACAATAATTAAAAATTATAACCAACCAGCATTTGTGTTTTTTTTGCAATTGATTGTTTTATTCACCTCACACTGGGAGACCAGTCTCTCCCATTTTCTGTTGCTCACTAACTGTGGATGTGTCAACGATTTTAGGAATGAACATGGACGTTTATGCTTTTGTTGTGTATTGCACTTGTTGATTGGTAGTAGGATTCAACTGTCATTGAAATGTTAAAATATTTATAAAAAATGAAGGGAATTGGTTTGTTGTGTCATTTTTTGCTGAATGCCTTATTGCCTCACTTGAACATTGAACAAAGTTGGCAATTTCAATATCTGTCCAGAAACAAAGCTCAGCTGATAACAAAAATAACATTGCTATCAGAGATGAGGGTAAACCAGAGCACTCTTGATGTGTATGTTTAAACCCTAGCATTTCTGGCAAATTTGTTTGTGTCTTGGCTTGGACAGAAATTACTGTCGTACCTAGTGTGTTACTTTAGTCCTATGGAAAAGTGTACATATTTATTTACATGGGTATTTGACAATTTAAAATAAATTTGCAGTTTTGTTTTCCAAACTAAGGGGTTGACCATTATAAACTTAAGGTGTGATTGTGGAAAAGAAATACTAGTATCAGGCAACGTATAAAAAAAAATCTGTTCATTGAACATTCACATCTTACAGATTGCATTTTGTAATTTTTAGGTAGGGGGTGCAGATAAAAAATCATTGATGTTTGTGGCTATGAGATTCTTGCAAAATGCAGAATCGTCTGCTTAAATTTTTGCAACATTTTTTTTTTAAGTTTCTGCATTTATG